AATGAGCATGCAAGCGGCAGGTAACATTGACTTTGAAATGTAGGGAAGTGCTGAGTCATTTTTGCATTGCTCCATGAGCTCTCATAGAAAATATTTTCCAACCTCTGGGCAAAGTGATGAAGCCTTTACAGAGATAACTGGGGAGAGTTGTTGCCATTTTGCGAAAATGTGTCACATAGGGGTGAAAGGAACTTAAATTTTTTGCAGGTACTGTCCTATTGCAACCCAGGTCCCTTCCAGCTCTTTTAATAGCTCCCTGCTGGCTTTTGCCACAGCTCAGCCAGTTCTTGCCAGAGCTGCGGGGTACACCCCTTACTTTCTCCTCTGTGTCACATTCAACACAAATTTGGTTAGAAACCAAAACTGAGAAAGTGTTTTGATTCTCCCATTCATAATGAACATTTGTTTCATTTGTTTTTGTAATTTTAGAGTATAAAATAGAAAAAATGTAAAAGTCATAATTGAAACAAAAGGGTTAGAGGTTGTCAAACAAAAGATTTCAGTCTACCTGAAAGGAAGTTTTCAATAAAATTTCTGTTCACAGGAAATTAAAAAATTGTTTTTTCATTTTGGAATAAAAGAAAATTCAAAACTGTGAAACGCCCCCATGAAAAATCTGGTTCCCATGCAGCTCTGCTCCAGATCTCCTCTTGGGGAGCTGCTTCCCCTGCAGCCTTGGTACTCACTCCCTGCTCTGAGTCTATAAAGCAGGATGCAGTTTGCATGCCAGCACTGCAGCATCACTATGCTGGGGGGCCATATCAGCTTGATCTGAGCACGCCATCCCCCAGTTCCAAAACCTCAGTAACATGCAGTTCTATCATTATTTTAGAAGTGCAAGAATTACGTAAGGAGAATTAGTTGCTCTTGCTGGGAAGCTCCTATTACTCTCATTCCTTCCACCTTAACAAAACAAAACAATACAAAAAATCATGAGCCTTTATTTACATTGGGAATTCTACACTGGTTACAGCTGCCGTAGCTGCACTTGTGCTAGTCCCTAATATAAACAGCCAAAGCTGTGTATAAGACGTGATTTGCCCCAGTGCAGTTTGTCCCAGTTTCAAAGAGGGATACATTGCACTGGTACAAATCACTGCCCAATGCAGCTATATCAAAGGTTGAATCCCCTGTGTATCCAGGACATTTTACGTAATTGTCACTGCTATCAATTCCTACACTTTGATTGGCAAAGGAACATCACATGGGATTTCATCACCAGAGCATCCCTAGTATGGTCTCTGCCTCTGCTCTTTCTACAAAGCCCTTCTCATACCCAACAACTGAGAGATTAATTTTCTGAGACCAGCATGTTCAGAAAAGGATGTAATAACTAACACACACACACACACACACACACACCCCGGTCTGCTTTCTCCAGGTGTTCACACAGACCAGGAGAATCCCTGTGTTCTTGCATTATCCTTTGCTGCAGATGAAGACGTGAACATTTCCAGAGGTGCTGAGTGCCTACCGCTCCCATTGACTTTAGGTGGAGTTTACATGCTCAGCATCTCTGACCACTGGGGCCTCTGGGAACATTCTGATGTTTTCCTACTGCAGGGCACCATACTGGGACAATTCTTTGGATACAAGTTAAAAATATCAGAAACCCCCAAATAAAGTTTCTCCCCTTCCCATCCTTCTCTCCTCCTCGCACTCCCTCTTGCTGCCTATTCTGCTGGATTTCCAGGAGGGGGAGGGGAATTGCTTGTGTGCACATCAGTGAGCCTTATCCAAGTGAGATGTGTTGCCCCCTTTAAGAAGATGCTAGCAGTCCCTGAGGAAGGGGGGGTTGCTAAAAATATCATCCTATGCGGTGGGAGTAATTGACAAGCATGCTGTGACTTGGAGCAGGCGGGGTGGGCCAGTTCCTACTGCTGCTGCTGCCTCCATCTCTGCAGTGAGCGTGCTGCAGTCTCCCCCCCGCCCCCCCTCACTCTGCACACAGTCTCCTCAGGCCGCCCATGCTGCAGCCGGATCCAGCAGGCATGCTCACCTTCTTCCTAGTGTCTGGTGGCTCCATCTGGCTGTTTATGGGTAAGTGCTTCTCTAGCTCTCGCCATTCCCCCTTGATGTCACCTTTTCATCCCTTCCTCTGCATTTATCACTATTTCCACCCTCCCTGTTCTGTATTATTTTTCACCCTCTCCTTTTTAATGAAATCAGAATTAGGCTGTATGAGTGTTACATCAGCAGCGGGGATGCTGCTCCAGTCCAGCAAGAGAGAAACGACAGCTCAGGACCTGTACAAATTAGGCCCTTTGTGAAATGACCTCTGTCTGTGCATCAGTCTTCACTCTGTTTCAGCTACTCAGCACATTCGTTCCTTCTCTCTGCCCTTCCCCCTCCCACAGCAGTTCAGTAAGTTTATGTCAGATGCCTTTGGAGAAAAAGGGCAGAGAGAAACATGCAGTTAAAAGCGGAGATGATTTAAATCCATGGATGAATATTTAATATTGTGCTGCATACCCATAGTCTGAAAACAGCGCAGTAAAATATTCATGCAGCTTGATAAAGTAATTATAGCTGTGTGCTTAATTGAAAAGATTACATAACTCCTCTCCAGTGATCCCAAGGACTCATTTAGCTAGGTCCGTTCTTTGTATTTTTGTTCAGATAGGGCTGTTTCTTGTGTGCGTGAATGCATGCATTTGTGTGTGTGTGTGTGTGTGTGTGTGTGTGTGTGTGTGTGTGTGTGTGTAAACATATATACAAGTATCGATCTAGAGAGAATATATACCATATTGCTTTGTTTGAAAAGAGTGATGACCTAGAATGTTTGATCAGGCAGAAGAATTACTGCTTCTGTGAAGTAGGTATTCTTCTCTTAAAGGCTTAGTTTTAAATGGTTGTAATCTGCTACAGAGATTCAATATAGAGTACTCCAAATGTGTGTGTTTGTGGGGAAAGGAAAGCTAAATTCTAATACATGTGCTTTAATTTTCTTACTAATAATATATTTCTCTTTAGCCAAATACAGTCATTAGGAAGAAATGCAAAGAGGGAATGGTTTTTAAATGTAACCTCTCTTTGCAGCATTGGGTTAGATGTTCAAACAAAAGGCACCAGAAATGACATAGCATGCTGTAGTTGTTAGTGCTCATATTTACTCTGCTTCTGTGGTTTCCTTTTTTGCAAGCGAATATATTAATGCTGAAACAAGTGAGTGTCTAATATCACTAGCCTAAATTTTTCCCTCACGTATTTTCTGGCTACTTCCATTTAAATTAGCAAGTCTGCATCTGCTTATACCAGGGCCCTTAACCTACTTCCATTGAAGTCAGTGGCAGAGCTGGCCTAGTGTTGAATTTGGCCCATTGGAAATTGCATTTGTGTATCCAAAGGCAGAATTTGGCATCATGGCTTCAGAGATATATACAAGGCCAGCTAGGGCTTCACTTGTTTCGTAGGCCCAAAGACTTCCCTGAGTTACACTCTCGAATGTATTGGCGTATTGCAGCGTAGCCCTTCGATACACTCCTGAATTTACAGGCATAGAACAGAATTTGGCCTGTGCTGTGAAAGCACATGCTGTGCAAGCCTCTCCAGCCCATTCTCCACATCATCTCACAGACTGATCAGAAACTTGGGGTTGTGCTCCACCACGTTGGGTGTCACTGTGCTCAGTGCAGGCTCGTGTCCAAATGTCTTTCACTTGTGAGCAGTGAGATTTGAGCCTGTCTGCGTAGTAGCGAAAGGCTGCTGCCTGAACTCACTCTGCCTTGTAATCCCCCGGGCTATTTTTATCCAACATTTTGACCTCACATGAATACCGGACCTTTGAAAGGACGAGGCAGTTTTGTTGCCCGTTTGCTTATACCACCACAGAGAAGAAATAGAAGCAGAGAGTCTCAGTAATCACTAGTACGATCATTTGTTCCAACTGTATGTAACTTCAGATAAAAAAATGGGTATAAATGTCTGAACGGCATTGATCATAGTGGCTTAGCATTGGCGCAGCTGCATCATTGCTTGGTGATCTGTAATGCGTGTACTCATTTTTCTAGCATGGATTCCCCTCTTAGGCCAAGCTCAGAAAAAAGCAGGATTAGCAAATAGGCTGATTCACCTATTACGAACACTGTAGCCCAGAGCAAATGCTCAAATTTGTTTCCCTTAAGACTTTCAATCATAGCATAAGAGTGGTCATCACTAGGTTAGGCTAATCTGCTGGGCTATGTGGGCTTTTTACTCTATAACGTGTTATAGGAACAACTGTAAATACCAGAGAAAGTGATCCAAGAAAAAAGTAATATTATTTTTTATAAATGGTTTCCTATAATTAGTACAAGCTTTCCATTATTGTAGTGACTAGTCTAACCATAGTGCTTAAGTCTCAGAGGGGTAGCTGTGTTAGTCTGTATTGGCAAAAGCAAGAGGGAATTCTGTGGCCCTTAAAGACTAATGGATTTATTTGGGCATACGGTTTTGTGGGTAAAACCACTTCATCAGATGCATTGGAGTAGAAATCACATAGGTAGGGATATATATATGTACTAGTAAATAGTACATACCCTCTTCCTCCTAGCACTTCCCGCCTGCTGCAAAAAACCTCTTTCATTGCATTCAGGACACCCACAACCCACAGCCCCAACTAGAGACCTCACCCCCTCCAGCAGGCCCCAAGGCCAGCCCAGTAAAAATGATGAGTGAATGAGGATGAGGAGAGCGAGCGACAGGGTGGGGGAGAAAGTACGGGAGGGCTTGGAGAAGGACTAAGGCATGGGCAGGGCCTCACAGGAGGGGCAGGACAAGGGTGTTCGGTTTTGTTTAAGTAAAAAGTTGGCAACCTGCACCACTATAAACCTGCTATTAATGGCAATTGCACTTGTATTCCTTAAGGCAGCTGAGAGGATCGCAGAAGGGATACAGGACGGTGTTGATTAAAGCTGCTACATTTTTTATAGTCACCATTCAGAGTAAAACCACAGTTCAGAAAATGCGTGAGCAGGCAATTACAACTTCATGTGATGTGGTTACACTGAAAAATTCATCAGAAAAATCTCTTAGGAAGGAAACTTAAAACATGTAAAATATTTTTTTTTAGCTATTTTCCCTGCCACAGTGACACACAGAGGAGGAACATATGAAGGTCATAGATTTTAAGATCAGAATGGACCATTAGGTCATCTTAGTCTGACCTTCTGTGTCTCACAGGCAATTAAATGTCACCCTGTATTGAGTCCAATAACTTGTGTACCCTCCAGAAAGGGTATACCCTCCAGTCTAGATTAGGAATGTAAAATCCCTAATTGGGGTGGTTAACCAGCTAAATGCTGGTTAAATTGTTACCCAGGTAAGCATGCTGGTTACCAATTAACCAGATAACCCTTTAAATCCCTAGTCTATATCTGAAGACACCAAGAGAAAGAGAATCTAACATTAGGCAGTTCAAATCTGAATCACCAGCACTGTTAAAAAAAGTAACACATTTTTAATTTGAATTTGTGTGGTTTGAGTTTCTTGTTATGGGGGAATAACTAGGGGTATGTCTACACTACCACCGTAGTTCAAACTAGGATGGTAATGTAGGCATACCACACTTGCAAATGAAGCCCGGGATTTGAATTTCCCGGGCTTCATTTGCATAAGCCGGCGAGCGCCATTTCTAAATGCCGGCTTGTTCGAACCCCATGACGCGCGGCTACACGAGGCACGGGCTAGATAGTTCGAACTAGCAAGCCATTCCGAACTATCTGTACGCCTCGTTCGAACTATCTAGCCCGAACTTGCTAGTTCGAACTATCTAGCCCGTGCCTCGTGTAGCCGCGCGTCATGGGGTTCGAACAAGCCGGCATTTAGAAATGGCGCTCGCCGGCTTATGCAAATGAAGCCCGGGAAATTCAAATCCCGGGCTTCATTTGCAAGTGTGGTATGCCTACATTACCATCCTAGTTTGAACTACGGTGGTAGTGTAGACATACCCCTAGTTATTCCTGGATTAACCTCCTAAATCACTTATGCACTTTCGAAAAATTGACTCATAATAAAAATTTAATAAACCTAGGTTGCTCATGGACCATATATAGTCTAACATGTACTGAAATTATTGGGTAACTTTGAGTAAGAAGTGTACCTGGGTTAATTATATTGTTCTTCATGGAAAATCTTGAAAGCAGAAAAAGGGGCTAATATCACTGTATGTATTACTTACTCTAGATTTTTCATCTGTCTCTGTATGTAAGCCATTGGTCTGAATGAATTCTCTCCAGACACCTATTGAACTTGGGGGAAAGACAGTATTTGCATAAACACACATAATCTGCCTAAAATAATCAATTAGCATCCCTAAGTTGCAAAAATAATCAATTTTGGCTGTTTTGGGTTAAAATTCTCTTAAGTTGTTGATGCTGGGGTAACAAAATACCATCAGGCTTTGCCTACACTGCAAGGTTTTTGCGCAAGACCCTTTTTGCGGAAGACATCTTCCGCAAAAACATCTTGCGCAAAAGCGCGTCCACACCTCAAAAGCACATCGCAAAAGTGATATGCTTTTGTGCAAGGGCGCATCCACGCTGCCTTGATACTCTTGCGCAAGAAAGTTCTGATTGCCATGCACAGAATGCTTTTCTGATAGGCTCTTTTTGCGCAAGAAACCCCTGTTGAGCGTCCACACACATCTTTTTGCACAAGAACTCTTGCGCAAAAAAGGGTTATACCTCATAGAAAGAGGTAAACCTACACTGAAAAAAACTGTCCTGCCGTTTTACTGTAAATTTTCTTGCATAAAAACACACTTGAGGTGTAGACGCTCCGTGGGTTTTTGGGCAAAAACCCTGTAGTGTAGACATAGCCTTACAGTATCACTAAACTGTATTTCCTAGGCCCTAATTGAGGGGTAGTAAAGTAAATCTAAGTAAAGGTCACTAAGGGGGTGGTGGGGCTCCATTTTAAGAATCTTAGCTGCTATTTAACCCTTTCCCTCCTGTGTTTATAGATGATTCAATTGAGAATCCTTGTCATTTCTTAGGCTGTCTCTAGACTACATGCCTCTGTCGGCAGAGGTATGTAGATTAGACACATAGGCAAAGGCAAAT